ATTTAAAAACTTTAAAGCGATTAAAATAATTATAAAATATTTAATACACATTTTTCTTATTTTATTGTTTTAAACGGGATAGACATTTTATATTATAGACACAAAATAACACAAACCGAAAGCAAAGCGATCTCTTGCAAAACTAAAAGCGACTAATTTTGATTTTATCTCCTTACTCCCATACGACTGTATATATATAAATATACATATATATTCTCTCTCTCAATTTACCATCAGTTACTAATAGTAGTTTATGCGTTTAATAAAAAATTTTTTTTATGTATTTATATATATTTCATCCATGCATTAAGGTGGCCCTCAGTTGTATAAAGGCTAAGACTAACTTATAGTAAAACAAACTCACTTTTTTTTAAGTATTAAATGTACATAGAAAAATTGATATGGAAAGAACATATAAAGAAAAAACGAGATAACTAGAATCAAAATAGAAAAAAATTATATTGGTTTCTTGGGAAAAAATCACCCGACTCTTTAAGTAACAAATTAATGATATACAAGCAAGTCTTAGCTCCGGTGTGGACGTATGGAATCTAGTTATGGGGATATGCAGCAAAATCGTTTATTCGAATTATCAAAAATTTCCAAAATTTTTAAGAAATTTATTCAACGTTCCGTGGTTCATTAGGAATACTAACCTCCATCGGGACTTGAAGATCGAATCTATGAATGTAGTAATACAAAATTTTGCGGTTAAGCACTAAAAATGGTTACAACAGCACTCAAACGGGATAGCCCACCATCAGTCTAATACATCTTCTCTTGAGGAGATTTACACGAACTAAGCCTTCAAATATACTCTATAACTACTCTATTAGCACTAAGTCTTTGCCAATTGACAATTGTAAAACGTATTGTGAAATATAACAAAACTGCTTGACAGTTCTCTGTACTTGAACTATTCGTAGTCAAATGAAACAAGTATTTATATTATTGTATGTATTGTGTTTCAAAAAACAAAGCATGTCCTTAAAAAAAAACTATGAGACTTCCTTCCAAGTAAAAGACCAACATCACGACCTTTTTACATTAGATCAACGTGTAGAAGTAGAGGTCCACATATATCTTTCAGCTAAGAATAATTTTATGTCTTTTTAATCAATACCACTTTCATTTAGGGCTGCCGTTCAAATTTTAAATTATTTCTTTCCATTTTAAAAATGAGTTGATAATAGAAACTGTTTGTATTTTAATATATAATTATTAAAATTTTCAAAAAACGATTTCAAGAATATTTGTTAATCTGATACAGTAATGAACGAAGACTTACAGTAGTCAATTTTTCAAGACAGCTTCTGGTGATAAACTTTTCAACAGCAATTTTTTAAAGATTTCTAAGTAAAGACAGTTGTTCTTTTTGAATAGATTAGTTTTAGGTATTTGATTGCAATCTAGATTCTGGTACGCGGGGTGAAGCGTCTTCCCTTATGGCCCAAACTCTAATTAAACTTTACTGAAAAATTTTTTAGTTTTCAAATTATCTGCTCTATGAACAATAAATAATTATTATAACAAATTTATATCAGTTAATATATAATATAATGCATTTCAATTTGTTAATAGAAAAATGGGGTATGAGCTTTATTATAAAATGGTGTATGTTATTAAAGTTTTAATTCCTTAATATCGGACTTTATGAATATTCTACTTTGCAGTGGCAAACACTTAGCATTTGCAAGTCCAAAAGTTTCGTCTCAGGTGATTTTAAGTTACTAAAACTCTGAATTTAATCATACGAATAAATATTTGAATTATATCAGTACGGGTATGTGGCAAAGAAATTAAAACAAACGAAAAAAATCTAAACTGAAATGTTTGGTTCTAGTGGAAAAAGTCTGGAAAGAAACTTTCAACCCAACAACACTTACAGAAGTTGCTAAAGTTTGGCATACAATGAAAACTAATTTGATAAGAGACTGACTTAGAGCCTCACTGTAAACGTCAGTATTTTAGTTCTACATATATAAAGCCATATATTTCTATATATTAGTATGTATGTACATATGTATATAACATTCAAATGCATTTATACATAACATACATATATGTTTATAAATGCAAGCAAAATTAAACAAAATGCAAACTCACATTTACCCTGAAGTACCTTTTGACATCCTTTTAGCGAAATTGCTCTTCCAGTTGTTTGTTGCTTTTAGTCTTAAAAGTATTAAATATAAAAAAAGATTATAATATAAATATATATTATTAGTGATAATTCAGTTATTATCGTATTAAGTATGTGCTTTACATAAATATAAGGGTTTAAAAAATATTGACACCGCATATGGAAAGAATACTTCGTAGTTTTTTGCTTTTCTGCACAATGCTTAAAAATGCAATTCTGAACATTATAACCTAAATCAGAACTACCTCTAAGTCATTCTGAGTATTTTATTAATATACTATTAAGGAAATGTTCTATCCCCTTTACACTGCATTTAAAAAAATATGCACTAACCACATACTAGTAAAATTGACCTGATCACATTATTAGAAAAGTTTTAGCTCATATGGTAAAGAAGACATGTAAACCAACATGTGATATGGTTGGAACAACGTGACGCTTCGAGTAAGAATATTTTGACCTGACATTTAGTCAAAATCTGGTTATATCAACCAAATTATTTTTTTGAGCTTGCGAAAAGAATTTTGATTATTTTTGTTTTTATTTGTTAGTTATTAATAGTTTAAATTTGACATTAATAGGATAAAAATACTGTGCACATCCAACTCAAAAACGCTTTGTGTAGGCATAAGCTACTCAACGTCCAGATGAATGCGTACCAACTGCTCATTCGCGCCCTAATTACGTATGCGTTCCCCAATAGTAAGTTTGCGAATTCTTGAGAGAAAAATTCTCAACGACTTTATCAACTACGCAAGATGCAAGACGTCGACATAATTTCTTCCTGGGAAAAACTGCTTCCATTTTTCAAGCAGAAGTCCATGCCTTAGTGCTTTGTGCAATAGAATGCATACGAAGGGGCACCCGAGGTACCAAAATATGAATCCTGTCACACAGCCAAGCAGCTCTAAAATCTTTAGGAAAATCCTTATTCCAATAAAAGTTGTTCTGGGAATGCTTTCAACTTCTCAACACCCTAGCATCGAGGAACTATGTTACTCTTATGTGGGTAGTGGGATACGAAGGGCATAAGGGCAATGAAATAGTAGACTCCCTAGCAAAGAAGGGTGCATGTACTCCTTTCATTGGTCCAGAGTTCTTCTGTGGGGTAACAAATAGCTTCACAAATAGCTTATTATGTGAACGGCAGAAACAACATCTACTTGAACACTGTAGAGCCAAAACAGGCATGCGACAGTCAAAAAGATTCATTGATCCTGATCACATCAAAGTTGATGCTATCCTTGGCCTTAACGACACGATATTAAAATCTATACTGAACTTCTTACAGTACACTGTAGACTTAATTACCACATGAAGATTATAGGTGTGGTAGAAAGTGACTCCTGTCGACTCTGTCATGAGGAGAAGGAAACATCAGAACATGTTCTATGCAACTGCCCAGCGGTGGCAAGACTTAGACTCGATTACCTTGGAAGCGGGATATTAGTCCCAAGTCAAATAGGTAAAATTAAGCCCACAGCAATTACAAGATTAATAAATAGTCTAACATTGTCCTAGTTGGGCTTTTAGGCGCACAATAGATCTTTTAGGTCGGTGTGCTTTAATAACCTATTACTTAAATAATAAATAATAATTTCTCCCTGATATTCTGCACGCCAAAGAACTTCCTAATGAGTTTCTCCAAGCTCTATTCCACAGGTGTCTCCAATTCATTGCCCTCTACTTTGACTCGCTCCCCCATTCTATTCCGCTGAGAGAAGCATTTCTTCTCCCTAGTTAATGCTCTTTAAGTAAGTACCTATTATTCGTAACAGTTAAGGGTCACTGCGTCCTCAATCCTAGCTCACCCTTAGCTGATAAATTTGTAACTACAAATACTGAGCTCCTTTTACCTTTTCCCCCTGATTACTTAAATGGAGTTGCATCTGGTGAACGCGGCTGCAATCTTCCACAACCGTTTCTTAGAGGTGGTTTTAGCGGGTTAAAGTTTCACACTGTGGTTGTTAATGCTTTCCACCTATCGCAAAAAAAAAGATATTTGTTACTGAATAACAGCGTTCTGACTAAGTGCCGAGGCACAGTTAGCCTCGTGTCCCACGAACAAATTTGAATCGACATTTTGTTTTTTTCTCACTCTCAGTATTTTAGTTTGCATTGAAAGCAACAATTATGATTTTGATAAGCCTAGGACTTTCTGCATAACATGCCGTTCTTAGAAAGTTGTAATCAAATCAAATTTGAAATTGCTTTTGGTTTTAATATAAATTAAAAAATCAAGTAACTTAACAAAGTCTTTGTATACACAACACTCGCTACTTTGGTCAAAACAGTGTTACACAATAATTATAATAATGTCAAAACTTGCGTCTATTGGGACTAAATATATGTATTTTTCTGTGTAAACACATATTAATTTAAGGCACAATTAAAAGTATTTTTTACCGTTTCATAAAGTTATGACCAAAAGGATGTAAAATTAACGTAACAAGTGATCATATGGCTGTCCGCACAACATGGCCCTGCCCTAAAGCATCATATGTTCAGTTTAATGTTTAGTACTGCCAATGCATAAAATTGGCAACTCTGTAAAAATATTGGAACAGAGTTTGGGATATGGTATTACATGCATAAAGATCAGACCTAATTATTTACTTATGACCAATGACGTTGTCAATGCACAACATAATCTTTGAACTGCACACATTTAGGGGCAAGCATCGAAGACTATACAAATAGGAAAAGTACTAATACAATATATACTATACATACATATCAAACAACCATACAAAGTTTTTCATGTTAAATTTAAATTTTTAGAAATGTGAGTTTTTAATCTAGTCATACATTTAAATCGAAATTATTACAATATATTCCATAATTATTTGACATAACATCTTACAAAAATAAAATAAAATCAAATATTTAAAAATTATTTGGCAATTGAGGAGCTTAATTTGTTGTCCTTCCAAAATGATTAAGCCTAGATTATATTCTGCAGCTCCACAACTTAAGCCAGGCCTTTCTTTTAGTAATGAACCACAACTGCGTAATACATCGTCAATGAAATATGAGCACCCATCTGTATCTCTTCAAAATCCAATTAAAAAAGGTTCAAACATAGACTTACACAAAAAAGAAAAACCAAAAGATGCTGATGAAGAGCTTTATATACGTAAGAGCTTATATGATTGGATAACTGAAGATCTTGATCGCTTTGGACGTAGTGTATTTTACAAAAGATTTGTGCTCGTGGCTAAAAACAGAGAAGATTTTCCGCGTCCCAAGTATGGTGTCGATGGTGAAAAGATCGATCCAGATACTGATATAAGTTTTTATTGGGCTTTTCGCCTAGAACTCGATAAAATGCTTGATATTTGCTACAAGAGTATGTTTCTTACAGAAAAAATAACCGGATTGTTTTTATGCATGGGTGAGTACACTATATTGTTACTTGAAGGAGCAGAAGAATTTTTAAAAGACTTCAATGAAATGCTTGTGGAAATTGCGGATAAATATTGGTTAGCCAATAAAATTTTTCATGTAGAGGATAAAATTAATGAGGTAAACACAAAAGTTATTTGTTATTTTGTTTATATGTAAATAAAATACAATCATTTTTTAAGACCTACTTTCAATATTGTGCTTCATTCCGCTGTGCACAAATGAATATAAATGAAAAATTTCCACCGAATACCGTAACCGATAAGCATCTAATTGTAGAGCAACACAACATAATAAAAGAGAAACTACTGTCACTTTACGAAAGGTTAAGCCCGATTGTAACAAAACCGAAGCATGCTGAGGTGTTTAAGGAAGAAACCTGGAAGGTACGTAGAGCTGCTATGAGAAAGCACGAAGAACAAAAAAAAATAAATGCAGATGCACATTTTGATAAGGTGCCTCAGCGGTTTTTAGTACCTTGCTCCTTTAAAGAAGTAGAAGAGATGGAAGAGCAGGAATCACGCACAGCTATTTGGTCAAGTTCAAGTGACGAAATCTTAGAAGAGGTGGAGTTTCTACCACCATTGGAATTTAATAAACTTTTACCAGAGGCACAACGCATTGATATCGTACTAAATTGCGAAAGGTTCTATCGTTCGTTGAGACAAGCCCTAAATCTTTTAAATGTCACAGTTGTAATGCCGGATGAAGAAGCATTGATTTGGCCAATTCCATACAATTTCCTACCGCTTGGAATTTTTGAGAGGTCACCATATGATGTAAATCTGACATTTCCCAATTACAAAGTTGCAGAAGTTGGTGAAGAAGATAAAGAAGAAGATGAAGAAATTGGTGAAGAGGAAGAAGCAGAAGAAGACCCTATTTTCATGTGAACTATATTTTAATTATTTATTTATTAAAGAATATTTATTTTGACTTGATTGTGAATTGATATGAATTTGTTTTGTGAATAATAAATTTATTAAATGAAGCATTCTATTATGTACATATATATTTCAAATACTTTCCATTTATAGTTGAAGAAGGTGCATTTCTATCAAATTTTGTGGATTTTATCTATTTTGCTCTATATTTCGAGAGCTAAATTAGTAGAAGATACACAATTGTGCATAATCATTAGTAGTTTTTGATATAATATTCCATCCACTTGAACAACAAATGAAAAATGGCAAATGCACAATTAAATTTTAGTAAAATCCTTCATAACTTAAAAGACTGACTACAGTAAAATTTACTGAAGGTCGCATTTACTTCAAATGTCCTTAAAATAGTTGAGCTGCAGAATTATTTACTAAACTCAGTATTTTTGATTTTATTTACCTTTTTCGTCATTAATAATCAAGTATTTGTGCATTTCAACTCTGCATTATTGCATACAACTCACAAAATAATCGTAAAATTTAGTGAATCATAGTTTATGAATAGTAGAAATAAAAGGATATATTTTATAAGTGCAGTTTTAATGAATAATTTTTCTTCATTTTTGTTCAGCATTTCACAATGACAGCAGCTCCCTCCAATGAGAAGGGAGTCATTTTGACAAATCCTTGATTATGTTAGATGTAAGTACTTATGGCATAAATGTAGTTGGGAACCGTGGCACTGAAACGAGGGATAATTATTTTTGAAAATTATTAGATAAATGTATATACAATAATTTACTAGTCCGGGATTCACTATATTCGGGATATTGATCTCAAGACTTCCTGCACATACAATTATGCGATATCGATTAATCATATTGAAGAAAATGTCATGGGCCCCCGTTTCATAAAAAATATAACAGCGAACACACTTTTGAGGTGTGTCGTTTTGCTCCTACAGTCTTAGACTAAAAATTCGCTCTAAAGAATATTGTAGAAGATAACTAATAGAAAGAAACATACATTAGAATATTTCTTCTGCAACTAATCAGATCTAACTAGATATACGGCGAACTTTTAGGAAAATCATGTTTTTAGCTTTTTAACAATATTGTGTTGTGTCTGTCTGTTGGTGTTTTGACGCTCTTAGAAGCCGTTCATGGCACAGTGGCTAGCTTTTTATATTCGCCTATTTTGGAATGGGATTCTTGATAACTGAGAAAACGCTAGAGACAACAACAAGAAAAGAATATTCGTGTCATTAAAAATGTTTATACACATATATAGGACCAAATAGCGAACACATCCCCCTTACTTTTGTTTAGTGCATAGATTAAAAACGTTCTAGAGATTATTATTTATAAATGTTCGGGTTTAAAAAAGTCACAATGAATAGACTTATCCATCCTAATATATAATATCCTAATATATGAAGCATCTTATAAGAACAGTTAGTAGTTCTTTCAATTACTATTCTTATTTTTTCAATATTGCTTAAAAGTATATTTAAAAGTATTTTCCCAACTGAAGCTTCGCTGAAGATGACTATCGAAGATAGTCGAAATATCGGAAAAATAATTTAACAAATATAATACAAAGAACTTATTATAAAGAATTATTAAATTTTCTCTTAATTTAATTTAAATTAAATTAAATTATGACTAAAGAAACCATTTTTCTTTATAGAAACTATTGTTTCTAGAAGAAAATTAAACTCTCCCATAAGGATGTCCCATAGAGTTATCAGTCTTCCAGTTGGTTTACCTACAGATCATTGTATTCTAGGTAAACATGCTAGGAGACTAAATCTTACTTTCAACAATATCTGCCGCAGTTGTGGAGCGGATAATGCTTTGCTTCTGTCCGACACATGCACGACGCCGACTTGATATCTTAGGGGCTTTCTTTTTTGCGGATATTGGTGAACTTCCGGACTTCCCTTCAAATAGCGTCATAAGCTTTGTCAAAAATTCAAGATGCTTTTAACTCTTGGGTTTTTAATAATATGGTAGCACAAAGAACCTTGGTATA